CCAGTTAACAAGAGATCAAACCACTACACTAGATCAAAGGAGCTTAATTTATGGGGTTTTTTTTGTTTTTTTGTTTTTTTTTGGTTTTCAAGACAGGGTTTCTCTGTGTAGTTTTGGTGCCTGTCCTGGATCTCGCTCTGTAGACTAGGCTGCCCTTGAACTCACAGAGAGCCGCCTGGCTCTGCCTCCCAAGTGCTGGGATTAAAGGCATGTGCCACCGCTGCCCGGCTGTTGGGATTCTGCTGTGATCCAGCTGCATGACCTCGGCTCAGGAGTTGAGCAGGGGGTCTTGTGTCTTGCATCGCACCGGTCAGTGCATGCGTGGTGTAGCTCCATAGGCCCACCTTTGCATGTTCATCGGGAACCCTTGAAGGCTGCACACAGACCCCATCCTCTCTCTGTTCTGCTCCCCCCACCTCACCATCTTTCTCTCTGCCCTCCACACGTGCTTTTTCCCAGGCCTGGTTCTTCTCCCCCTCCCCGCTTTCCTCTAATAAAGCTCTCTGCTACCGGGTAGCGTGGCCGTGGCTCGTGACCTTTTTGAGTGGTAAGTGTTGTTTATCATTCATTTCACCCGCCATTTATGTTTTTAAAAGAGGGTCTTATATAGACCAGAAGGGCCTCCAACTCACTACACACTTGATGATGACCTTGAAATTCTGGTCCTCCTGCCTCTACCTCCCTAGTGCTAGGATTACAGGTATGCACCATCATGCCTGGTTTTATGCTGGGCTGAGGATGGAACCCAGAGCTTTGTGCATGTTAGGCCAGTACTTTACCAACTGAGCTATACCCCCAGCTCCACATTCAATTTTTTAAAACATAAAGGACCACCAAATAAATACTACTACTACTATTGCTACTACTAATAAAAAAGCATATTGTCATTTTCATCCAGAGGACTCCAGTGAGAGAAGAGACCTCAAGCAGAGCTCCTGGGAATCCGCTAAGTCTCTGCTTATTATTGAGAATCCAGGGCTCATTGTGGTACTGTCTGGGTGGACCATGTCTCTCTTCTGGCACCGTGGCCAGCCCCAACACAACCTGAGTTCAGGAAGACCTGAGCTGTTAGGATGACATCCCCATCAGAAGCCACGATTTGCTCATCACCGGAAGGAGTCCACCAGGAAATCAGGATTTGGTGGCACTTTGCAAAACCTACTGTTCCTTCTAGTTGATTGCTCTCCCATCTGACTCCTGTTTAGGACAGTTTTTCGTGTCTCAATGCCTGGTGTCAGGCATCTCAGCAAAGTCTTTGGAATGGGGCCAAATTATTCTTCCATCTCCACTGGTCCCTGGGTGTTGAGTAAGGGGATGTCTGTCTCCCTGACACCTACCTCCCCCTTGTTGGGGTGTGAAAAAGTGTAGGGTTCACTCTCAGATTCAGGAGGGCTACTAGGAGCTGGCTCATCTGCAGTGAACTTTGCAGTTGGGGTCCTGGAGAATATAGGGGGTGGGGAGGGGGGGCAGTCCCCCATGGGGCCCTGGAAGGGCCGGTAGGTGTCCACCTCAGGCTGGATGAAGGATCCACCGGAGTCCTGCAGCAAGTGCCCATATACCATGGTATCGTCGATGACTGCATACACATGAGAGTCATTGTCCTTTCGTCTTTTCTGGAACTTTTGAGTCTGGGGCACTTGGGTATTGACATTGCCATTGTAGATACCCACAGCAGGGCCCTTGTTGACCTTCTTCCTGTTTGCAGAGAGTGACAACAGCAGAATGAGAAAACTGTCAGATGAGTGACACATAGGACTCCTTGGGGTTCTAACCTTATCTCACCTGAGTCCTGGAAGCCTACTAGCATTTGAAACTGGAACTGTCCCAGGGACTACTCAGAAGCAGCCTTTGTCTCAGGTTTCCAAGGTGGAAATTGAAGGATCATAAATGGAAGAGGTGGTTTAAGTGAGTTTGTTTTGACTCTGATAGACTTCAGGGGAACCAACAACGGAGATACCTTGTAATTCCTCTCCTTCTTCTTCCCAGTAATAGGGATGCACAAGCCTTTCTAAACCACATCAGCTCAGCACGCCCAGGCCAACCTTCTAGAACATACAGTACTACCCTGTACTAATGCTGCCGCTTCTCTTGCACAGAGCAAAGCTAATTAGCTAATTCCAGTTAATATCCGAGACTCGGGGGGAGAGAAGGGCACAAACTAGCTAATTTTCTGCTAGAGTTGAGGTCGGAACAGCTCATCATTAGCTGAGTGGCCCTGTCCCTGTCCTATCAACAGCAACCACCAGGGAAAAAGCTAAAGTGCAGACAAAATCCAGGATTCGGTGAACCATTCACTCGGGTGTGTGGCGCTCTCTGGTATTCAGATGTGGACAGTTGTTGGCATGTCTGCCCTGGGTACACAGCTTTGCCTTCAGTGAACAAAGCATCAGGGATTTAGACAATGGCTGACTCCAGGGCTGCAGAATGCAAAGGCTGGCAGCTCACTAATCCTAGACTGCACTTCTGTGAGGTAAAGGGCCATCTGGTGCTGACCAGCGGCTCCCCAGGCTCTTGCATGAGGCCTTCAACAGATGTCCCTCCCTCATGTTCTCACAGTGCCTGGCTTTTCCCTCTACCCATGGGTAGTAGAAAAGACTGTCTTGCCCCTGGTTTATTCCCAGAACGTGACCTGGGTCCTAGTGCCAAGGAAACCCTCCGAAAACACCCACAGCAGGAACAAGTTCAGTGCCACTCACTCCCCTTGTCCTTGCAGACCTGCCCTCCCTCCTCCACCACACACACAATTTAGGGCTTCACACAAGCGCATCAGACAGCGGCCTCACGCAGTTGAAGCCCATAGGAAGACTTCCTGTGCTGGCAAGCATCAGGTCAACCTGAAACAGTGTGTAGAAGGAAGCATGAGGGCTGGACTTTTGTTCTTAGCCAAATCCCTCTGCTGTAGGATGTCTTTCTGTATGCTGTGAATATGTGTTGCTCTGATTGGTTAATAAATAAGCTACTTTGGCCTGTTTCAAGGCAGCTTAGTGGCAGGCGGGAAATCCAAAGAGAGAGACAGAAAAGAGAAAGGCGGAGTGAGGGAGACACCAGACTGCCATCCTGTAACAACATGTAATGGGATGCAGGTAAAGCCACAGAACACGTGGCAATACGTAGATTAATAGTTATGGGTTGAGTTAAACTATAAGAGCTAGCTGGCAAGAGGCCCGCCATAGGCCATACAGTTGACAATATTAAGCCTCTGAATGATTATTTTATAAGCGACTGAGGGACCTTGGGCTGGGTGGGACTGGAGGAACATGGGACTGCAGGGCAGGCAAGACCTGAGAAAACTTACGGCTACATCCCTCCTCTCCACAAGGCATCTGGGGAGTCAGTGTTAAACGAATGTGTCCCAACTGAGTGGGACATGCTGTGTACCCCAGACAAGAAAGCATCCTCCTTTCCTATGTAGTAATGTGTATTTCACGGGAAAAGGCTTCATGAACCAGAAAGGAGCCCATCATTCCTCAACAGTTGGACATTTTTAAGACAGTCAGTCCCACTGCACATCAGGAATTTGCTCAGAGCCATAGTGAACTTGAAAGAAAAGTTTGGGGACCGAGGAGTTAGTTGGTAAAGTGTCTGTGGTGCAAGCACGAGGACCTACATCAGATCTCCAGCAACCATGTAAAAAGCTGGGTTTGGTGGCATGCATCTGTAATCCCAGGGGTGGGGAGGAGGAGACAGGCAGTGCTGAGCAAGCCTGGTGAGTGATGAGTTTGATCCCCAGGACTCATATGGTGGAAAGAGAGAACCAATTCTCACACACTGTCCTCTGGCCCCACCAAACATGGGTTGTGTGATGTGCCCATGAGCATGCACATACACACACACACACACACACACACACACACACACACACACACATAATAAAATGTAGTAAAAATTATGAAAAAATTTTGTAAAATTGATTGTGAGGAATGACATCTGATGTTCTCCTCTGGCCTCCACAATATGGCCAGAACATGCGTGTGTACCACACACACCTGCACACTCACACTCATTCACAAAAGTTTTTTTTTTCTAGAAGGTTCAAATCATGATAAAGTAAATGGAGATCTCTGATCTTCATCAGACGGAGCAGAATTGATGAAGTCTGATGTCAAACTGGACTTATTTAAAAAGTCATTTACCTTTCAAGCAATGGAAGCTGCTGAAAGGGGGAAAGAGATGAGGCAGTTAACCAAGCCCTGCTTCCTCTTAACTCTAGGGCTACCTTTTGGCACTGGTCTTCAGCCCCTAGATAAACACAAAACAGATAGCTTATTTAAGAAACTACAGGAGAACAAACTAGGGCAAAAGGTTTGTTTTTTCTCCAGGTAGCAGAGGGTAGTAGGTCCTGCTAAGATCACTCCTGCTACCATCAGCTCAATGAGCAGACACAGGGGACTTGGTACTAGGACCAGGACGTCACAGTGAGTGAGTGTGTGTGTGTATGTGTGTGTGTGTGTGTGTGTGTGTGTGTGTATTTTATTCCCCCAGATATGCCTCCCCACCCTCTGAAACCGTAATTCACCCTTGGTAAGGATATTTAACATTGATCTTTTTGGGGAACTGGGCAGCAAAAACCCCCAACATCGTTGACATGAATAAGCTGGGTGTGGTGACACATGCCTCTAATCTTAGTGCTCAAGGAGATAGAAGAGGACCAAGAATTCAAGGCCAGGGATATATAAGACCCTGTATCCATCCACCCACCCACCCATCCATCCATCTATCCATCCATCATCCATCCATCCATCCATCTTCCATCATTATCCATCCACCATCTATCCATCCAACATCCATCAATCATCCATCCATCCATCATCATCTATGCATCCATCTTCCATCCATTATCCATCTATCCATCCATCCATCCATCCATCCACCTATCATTCATCTATCAACTCATCCATCCATCCAGTCAGTGTGTGTGATCCAAGGAGGCATCAAATCAGCCAGACAGCTAGAGAGATTCCACCTACTTCTTTTTCACAAAGCAGATGATGAGTCCCAGGGCAAACAGCAACAGGGCTCCACCTCCTACTGCACCAATGATGACAGCCAAATCTGTGAGCAGAGACAGGAACACAGAGGAAGAGATAAGAGGGTCGGCATAAGGAAGAGCTTGGTAAGTCCAGTCCCCAGCTTCCTCCCTTCTGAGCAGAGAGGCTGGAAACTGAAGATGATTGGGTCCTTTCCGAGCCTGATCTTTTTTGAGGGTGGTGGTGGTGGTTTTGAGATATGGTTTCTCTGTGTAGCCCTGGTTGTCCTGGAACCTCCACTGTAGATGGCGCTGGCCTCAAACTCACAGAGATTGGCTTGCCTCTGCCTGCTGAGTGCTGGGATTAAAGTCATGCGCCACCACTGCCAGGCCAGAATCATTTTTTTTCTCTCTCTTTGAGACAGGGTTTCTCTGTGAACTCACTCTGTAGACCAGGCTGGCTTCAAACTCACATAGATCAGCCTGCCTCTGCCTACTGAGTTCTGGGATTAAAGGTGCTGAGATTGATCTTTAAGGGAACTGTCAGCTAGTATGTTCTCTATGAGAGGAAACCAGCCAGTGTATAAAACATCTATGTGGAGGCCACCCATGTTACTCATGCAGAGTCTCCATGGGTATAAAACTCAACTGAGCCAAGAGGGAAAACTAAAGCTCTAGATGCATGTCTCCAGTTGAACTATTCCATTTGAGCTGTTTGGTGCATGCATATGAACCACTGTGTTGTCTGAATTTCTGACTCAACTGTTTGTTATGAGCAAACAAAATAGTTACTGTCTAAGCCAGTGGTTCTCAACTCTCTTAATGCTGCAACCCTTTACAATTCCTCATGTTGGGGTGACCCTCAACCATAAAATTATTTTCCTTGTTGCTACTTTATAACTGTAATTTTGCTTTTTTTTTTTTTTTTTTTGGTTTTTTGAGACAGGGTTTCTCTGTGTAGCTTTGTGCCTTTCCTGGAACTATAATTTTGCTACTATATGAATCATAATGTAAATATCTGATATGCAGGATATCTAATACATGACCCCTGTGGGGGTTGCAACCCACAGATTGAGAACCACTGGCCTAAGCCAGAGTAGTTTGTATGTAGCACTTAGATACATGAAACAGATGTGTTTGTAGGGGATCACCTACTATCCACCTATTGGCTACTCCTGGCTTCCACCAGGTGTGTTCCTGGTAACCAGGCTGTCTTAGAGAAGGAGGAGCAAAGGGGAGAGCAGGGACTCAAACGTCAGGAGTGAAGGACAAGGTCATTTCATCCAAGTTGTCCTTTCCCATACTGCACAATGGAAAAAGAAAACCGATCTGAAAAGGAACTCTGCACCAGACAGGGATTTAGGATTCCTTGCTTGCTCACCAAGAAACAAAGGGTAAGATTCAGAGTACACAGAAAAAGTGACAGAAAAGGAAAGTAGGAAAGGAAGAAAGCCCAAGTGGTAACCTCAGACCTGGTGTTCTTAGTAGTGGCTTTTGGTGAGTTCTCTCTCTCTCTCTCTCCCTTCCACCTTCCCTCTCTTCCTCCTTCCCTCCCTCCTTTTCAGGTCCTCATGTTTTAATCTTCATTGAATCCCTATGATTCTTCTTTTTCCTTCACTCTACAGATGAAAATCATAGGAGTGAAGCAAATTCTATATATCATGGAGTCAAGAAAGAAGAATGGTAGCAAATTGACAAAAAGGATTCAGGTGAGTCAAAGGAATGTGGCAGAAGGGGTGGTGTGCATGTTCCTTCTATGCTTCCTTTGGTGTCTTGGGCATTTCTCAACAGGGTCAGCTATGCAGTGGATAGTCAAGAAAGTTCAGTTGTCTCAGATGATTTTGGTGGGGACTTTTGTGAATAACAGTATACAGCCAAGATCAGCAAAGTCTCATAACCAACCTGTACTGCCTGAAAATCAATGAGTGAGCCTGATAAGCCCAACTCAGAACACACTTGTTCAGTCAATGTGTGAACAACAATAACAAATGCTATACCATAGCTGACTGATATACCAGTAGCCAGGACTCAATCTGTTTTTTTTTTTTTTTTTGGTTTTTCGAGACAGGGTTTCTCTGTGTAGCTTTGCGCCTTTTTCCTGGAACTCACTTGGTAGCCCAGGCTAGCCTCGAACTCACAGAGATCCGCCTGGCTCTGCCTCCCGAGTGCTGGGATTAAAGGCGTGCGCCACCACCGCCCGGCTCAATCTGTTTTTTTACTTGCCTCCAAAACTTGCTCCCTGCCCCTCAAATGCCAGTTTTCTTTCCTTCACTATCTCTGGGAGACTCTGAAAAGTCCTTACCCATAGTCCTTGGGGTGAGAGTTACCCAGAAGAGCAGATCTAGCTGCCTGCCATTCATGGGGCTGCAGTTGGAGATGTTAACCCAGAAGCTGTGATGATGGAAACTTGGCTTAGGCAGCACTTCCTCTTCTAGGCTGAAGATCTCCTCTGCCCGGGTCTGCTGCTCCTGGATGATCATGTATGCACGCCCTGACTGGCAGACCACACCAGAACGCTCTTTGAAGAAGGTCAGACAAGCTACTTGGTTGCTAGGCACACTGATGTTCCAAGACACTGAGGAGAGGGCAGGCAGGCCATGGTCCCAGTTGGGGGTCCTCAGGTAGACCTTGTTTTTTGTGTCCGGGGTCACTGTGAAAATGCCTTCCTCTGCAGGAAAGGGTAGAGATTCAGACAAATGTTGTTTGACTCAACAAAATGGAAAGAAAAGGGGACAAAGTGGGGGATGCTTAACAGCCTATTCCAGCGTCATCCAACAGAACTTTCTGCAATAAATGGACATGTTTTACGTTATGACTATTCAGTAGGCAGTAATAATTCATGTGCCTCTCTTGAGCACTTACTATGTGCCCAGTGTGACCAAGTGGCATAGTCAGCATCTGAACTTTCCCCCAGTGTACTACAGGCTCAGTCACCAGTCCACAACATTACTGGGAGGTGATAGAACCTTTAAGGGGCTTCCCAAGTGCTGGGATTAAAGGCGCCCACACCCAGCTTGGTGGTGAGACCTTTAAGGGGAGATGTCAAGCAGAAGGAAGTTAGGTCATGGTGGTGGAACCTTTAAGGTTGAGGTCAAGTAGAAGGAAATTAGGTCATGGTGGTGGAATCTTTAAGGTTGAGGTTAGAAGGAAGTTAGGTCATTGGCGGTGGGACTTTTTTTTTTTTTTTTTTTCTTGGTTTTCGAGACAGGGTTTCTCTGTGTAGCTTTGCGCCTTTCCTGGAACTCACTTGGTAGCCCAGGCTGGCCTCGAACTCACAGAGATCCACCTGGCTCTGCCTCCCGAGTGCTGGGATTAAAGGCGTGCGCCACCACCGCCCGTCGGCGGTGGGACTTTTGTTTGTTGTTTTTCCAGATAGGGTTTCTCTGTGTAGCCCTGGCTGTTCTGGATCTCGCTCTGTAGCCCAGGCTGGCCTTGAACTCACAGAGATCCTCCTGTCTCTGCATCCCAAGTGCTGGGATTAAAGGCATGCACTACCACACCTGGCTTGGTGGTGGGACTTTTTTTTTTTTTTTGGTTTTTCGAGACAGGGTTTCTCTGTGTAGCTTTGCGCCTTTCCTGGAACTCGCTTTGGAGACCAGGCTGGCCTCGAACTCACAGAGATCCGCCTGGCTCTGCCTCCCGAGTGCTGGGATTAAAGGCGTGCGCCACCACCGCCCAGCGGTGGTGGGACTTTTAAGGGGAGACATCAAGTAGAAGGAAGTTAGGTCATGGTGGTGGAACCTTTAAGAGGGGAGGTCAAGTAGAAGGAAATTAGGTCACTGGGGACACACCCTTAAAGGGGCTGTTGGGAATCTGTCCTCCACTCTCTTTTTACTTTCTGATGGCCATGAGGTGAGGAGCCTCTCCCATTATACATTCCTATTGTGATGTACTGCTCTAACACAGATCCCAAAGCACCTGGTCCTACCAAGGATGGCCTTCAAGTCTGAAACTGTGAGCCAAAACAAACCCTTCCCGCATATAAGATCATCATCTCACAGCAATGGAGAACCAGTACAACAGAGACTCATATTTTTCATTTATTTAATATTGATTTTGGTTTACGTAATCACATGTGGTTACTGCACTAGTCAGTGAAAGACATACCTGTTAGACTAGGTGCCCAGGTTCTTTTCAAACAAACAAACATCAGAAGTTTGCCAAATTAGCGTTCTCAGTTTCCTTTCAGAAATGTTCCCAGTTTCCAACAAGGCAATCCCCCTACCCCGCTCTGCTGTGGGAGTGGCATATATCTGTTTCTGCCTCAGAGAACAAAAAAGCTTCAGGTTTGGGAAGAAATCTAGAATTGCAAGGTTGAAAGGGCTTCCAACATGCCCACTCTCCGCTGTGTGCTCCAGGGGAGATAAGAACCTACACTCTGCCCTGATGAAAATGACCCTGATTTTCAGACTTCCCAAAGGGGAGTCCCTGGTAACCTTGGAAATGGCAGGCAGCTTGGGTTGACCTTACTCTAACCAAAGATCCATTTCTTCCCCACTATGCCACTGAAAGTCAACCTCAAATAAAAGTCTCAGCCAATTTTAAAATGACCTCTAATTTAACATAACCATTCTTGGAGCAACACACAATGGTGACTGTGACTTTTGCAATCAACTGCATACAGGTCACCCCAGAGAGCCACTTATACCTCATTCTCTACCTCAGAACACGGTAGACTTTGACCTCACCTTGGCTATGCAGAAGAACAGGACCCTTATACTGCTACTTCTTCCCCAGTAATTCCTCTCTGTGCTCTCCATGGTACGCTCTTAACTGTAAAAGCAGAATCATAACAACCCAGGGCTGGGGAATTTCTCATTTCCCCCTGTCAGCTTCCAAAAAAAGACTAGAACCTGATTCTTTGCCTTGTTGCCTACCAGCCATTGCATCCCACTGCCAGAAACTTTTTTTTTTTCCAATTTCTAAGCTCTGGAAATTTCCATGGGAGATTGATAAAAAGTCATTAGGACCCAATGTTCTGCAGCCTTCTGGTGTGAGGAACCACTGCAATAATCCCTTCTCTTTATATTGGCAACTTTGTGTGGTTTTAATGTGAAAAGTCCCCGGTAGGGCATGTGCTTGAAAGCTTGTTGTCTCTTGAGTGATGCTGTTCAGAAAGTCATAGAACCACAGGAAATGGAGACTTGCTGGAGGAACTGGGTCATTTGGGCCCTTAGGTTTTATAGCCCCACTTGCTGTCCATTTTCTGCTTCTTAAGTGCAGACACGAGGCTCGCACTGCTATGATTTCCTCACTGTGATGGACTGTACCGGTAAGCTGTGAGCCAAAATAAGCCTTCTTTAAGCTTCTCTTCTTATGTATTTGGTCATGCAACAGAAAGTAACTAATATAGCATAAAACAAGATGCATTGAATATCTAACAAAAACAGCTAAGAGGGTCTAGCAGTAGGTGAGCAAGGGACCACATACCTTTGAAATATGGTATGAAGGACACTGTCAGGCCTTGCCTAGAGACCTCTTGTTGGAAGCTGGGGGCATATGTTCGAAGCGTCACAGAGCTGTTTTGCTTCACCTGGATCTTCTCAATAGAGCCTCCTGGACAGAAGGAGCCAAAGTACAGGCCCTGGCCAGGCGTGGTGCTGGCCATGAGGTAGCCAAAGCTGGTGTTGCAGGCCCTCTCACGCGTATGCTGCTGTAGCTTCTGGCCTGGTACTAGCATAAGGCTGAGCCTGTCCTTGGGCACCAGCAGCTTCCAGGAGAAGTCGTGCAGCTGCACAGGCAGCTGGAGGATGTCTCTGGGCACCTGCAGGTGGAAGGACTTCCCGTAGCAGTAGCGGTGGTCCAGGCAGCCTGGAAGAGAGAGCTAGTAGTAATCATATGCAGGGTGGGGGGTGGGGAGCATGGCGTGTACCCTCTTTGGCACACAGGCTGGCCTGAGGCCAGAATCTGAAGCTGCCTGCTTTCCTTTCTACTTGTGACTCTTCACTAGCTTTCCTGTCCACTCTCCTCCTCTTCTTGTCTATTAACCTTGCAGCCAAGCTCCTGTGAGTACTCAGGACAGAAACACTCTCTCCTTGCTTGTATCTTCCTTTGGGATGCTACGACACAAGTCTCTACCCCAACATGTTCCCACACTTCATTGTCACGTTAGAGCTGTGAGTGACATCATGGCCATCTCGGCTTGCATTGTGCCCCATCACTTCTAATTGGGTGGCTTCATGCTAATCTAGCTCCTGTGACCCTCATGGACCCTCAGCTTTGTGTCAGAGATGACTGAGTTTTCTTTTCTTTTTTCTTTGAGATAGGGTCTGTTTGTGTAGCCCTGGCTGTCCTGAAACTCTATGTAGACCAGACTGGGCTCGAACTCACGTCTTTGCTTCCTGAGGGCTGTTATTAAAGGGGTGCAATACTAAATCTGGTTCAGGTTCTTTTTTATTTTTTTTTAAAGATTTATTTATTTATTATGTATACAGTGTTCTGTCTGCACATATCCCTGCAGGCCAGAAGAGGGTACCAGATCTCATTACAGATGGTTGTGAGCCACCATGTGGTTGCTGGGAATTGAACTCAGGACCTTAGGAAGAGTAAGCAGTGCTCTTAACCTCGGAGCCATCTCTCCAGCCCTCTTTTTTTTTTTTTTTTTTTAAGACAGGGTCTCATATAGATAGGCTGACCTGGAACTCTACGTAGCCAAAAAAAGACCTTGAACTTCTGATCCTCCTACCTTCATTTGTCAGGTACTGAGAATACGAGGGTGTGGGCATGGTTCATGCATTGCTGGGGATAACAGGGCTTTGCAATTGCTAGGATGTGACTGTACCAGCTGAACTTCATATCCAATCTTGAGTATGAGTTTTGCTGCATTTGTTAAAAGACTCACAAGTCACAGAAGGAGCCAGGCTAAGTTACCTTTGTTTTGTAATATAGGCTCTCATTTTTCCAAAGCTGGGTTTGAACTTGCACAGTCAAAGAGCAGTTGGTTTATGTTGTCTTAGGAATTAAAGCCAGGACCTAATGCATGCTATGCAGTCATTCTACCAACTAAATTACATCTTCATGTTCCAGGAGGCTAAATTCTTGACTGAAAAAGAGGCAGGAAGTAGGTAAGTGGAGACATAGGGATGGGGCAGCTGAGCAAAGGAGGAGAGGACTTCCCCAGGAAGAGGCTGGCAGGTTGGGCAGAGACAAGCAGGGACACTAGCCTGCTGTGACCTTCTGAGGGATGAATGGTCAGCAGACATTGGTCCTAACAAGGCCCGTCAACATTTGCTGCTTCTCTCTCTTGTTCCTGCTCACCTGGCCTCAGTGGTCATTTCAGACTATACCCTTTACAATCCATCTACTAAGCTCAACTAAGATAGGAAAGATGAGGCCGGGTGAGGTGGCGCACACCTTTAATTCTAGCACTCAGGAGGCAGAGGCAGGCAGATCTCTGTGAATACAGGTCAGCTTGGTCTACAAAGTGAGTTCCAGGACAGCCAGGGCTGTTACACAGAAAAAGCCTGTCTCTAATCCCCATCCCAACCCCCACCAAAAACCAAAAAGGACAGGAAAGATGGCTCAGTGGGTAAGGCACATGCCA